AGCCTTGATAGTTGTTTCTTTTTTTTTTTTATTTTTTTATGAGTGTTCTCTGTAGAAGACTTTGACTTTTGCTGTGTCTTAATATTTTTAATACTGTTTGGAAAATATATCTTCATTTTGTATTTGTTTTATCTGTAGTTCTCATTTAGTGATCACCCCCCTCCCCCCCACTCAAATCCAAAGAGATACAAATTAGAAGGAAGAATTGCTTTTTTGATAGGACTTTCATGAGTTAGTATGTCCTTATTCTAAATTTACACATACTCAAGCTCATGTTGAGTTTATATGTTTGCATAAATTTATAGTACATATATAATTTGAGTTTTGGGTTATGTGTTTTGGACTACTGGTTTGTTTTGAGCCAGGGAGCTCCAGTTTTGACTGGATTTAGTAGAGCTCTTGTCTTCTTTTTAGGAAGGTCATTTGGTATTCCTTTCAGCTGAAAATATAGGGAAAAATGTGTGTGCTTCCTCTTAGTTGATAGATCGTATTTGTTAAAAGCAAGATCAAAGAATTGGTGTCTAGGTCAGACCCTCCTTAACTCCTTCTTTTCCTTCCTGACTTCCTTCCTTCCATTTAAAAAAGATTTACTTGGCCGGCGCCGTGGCTCACTAGGCTAATCCTCCACCTTGCGGCACTGGCACACCAGGTTCTAGTCCCGGTTGGGGCACCAGATTCTGTCCCGGTTGCCCCTCTTCCAGGCCAGCTCTCTGCTGTGGCCTGGGAGTGCAGTGGAGGATGGCCCAAGTACTTGGGCCCTGCACCCCCTGGGAGACCAGGAGAAGCACCTGGCTCCTGCCTTCAGATCAGCGCGGTGCGCCGGCCGCAGCAGCAATTGGGGGGTGAACCAACGGCAAAGGAAGACCTTTCTCTCTCTCTGTCTCTCTCTCACTGTCCACTCTGCCTGTCCAAAAAAAAAAAAAAAAATTTACTTATTTATTTGAAAGGCAGAATTCCAGAGACAGATACATCCATCCACTCCTTAAATGATCACAGTGGCCCAGGCTGGGCCTGGAACGCTATCTGGAGTTGTCACATACATGGATGGGTCTCCCACATGGGTGACAGTGGCCCAAGTACTTGGGCCATTTTTTGATGCTTTCCCAGGAGCATTGGCAGGGAGCTGGATCAGAAGTGGAGTAGCCAATTTCGCACTTATATGGGATGCCAGCAACATAGGTGGCAACTTAACCCGCAGAACTACAGGGCTGGCTCCAAGGTCAGAGTTTTGTGAACTCATGCCTCTCTTGGGAATATTTGCTATTGGTGGACCTGTTATTGACGTTATGCATACTCTTCTGAGTGATTGGAGGAAAAAGGTTGGGAAGATAGAAGAGTTCCTTGCATTGTGAGAGAGCTTGTATTTTGTAGGGGGAGAAAGACACAAATGAGAAAATTAATAAATAAAATGATTTCTGATGGACGTAAATGTTGTTAGATGTTTGTGTAATAAGGAGGATTTCCACCGAGAAAGTTTCTGCTTTTCTGAGGCTGGTTAGGAAAGGTCTCTATGAGGAGGCAATGTATGAGCCGAATCCCAAATTATGTGAAAGACTCTTTCATGAAAAAATGTGGTAATCATCCTAGGCTCTAGCCCCCCGTCACCACTGCTGAAAGCCAAGTGACCACATGGCCCCCAACCACTGGTGTCAAGCTCTATCCGCATCCTAATGGGATTCCCTACTCCTACTTCCCTGCCCACCCTCTGGCACGGTTTTGAAAGGACCTGTTCCTGAACACGTGGCTCTCTTTTTCTCATCTCCTGAGCTCTCTGTCTATCTCTCTCTGTCTCTTGATCTCTCTTACGCTCTCCTCTCTCTTTTCCTTCTTTGCCACTTCCCTCCGGTCTGTTAGGTTAGTCCCAGTAAACTCTTTCCCTTTAAAAAAAAAAAAAAAAAAAAGTGGTAATCTGGAAGACTAAAAGTTGATGTGTGAAATGAATCTTGAAGAGTCCTGCCCTGTTTTGAGAACAAAGGAATAAGAGGATACAGAAACCCTTTGGAATAGAACAAAGGTGTCTAGTTAGTTCAAATGCAATGAGTAGTGTTCTGTCCCAGTGGTAGTGAGGCAGAGGAGAGTATGCTGTGCTGTCTGGGTCCAGATCTCAGATACTGTGTGTGTGCCAACAAGTAGCTGCTTGAGGCCTGAAGAAACTGGTTTCTTCCTTTATGTAAAGTGATAGGAGTGGAACAGACATTTACAGACTCTATTACAGTATCTTGTGCCTTTGAATTCATGTGGTGTTTATTGACATTAAAGGAGAGTTTTTAGTTGGTGAAATTATGTTTTTGGTATCCAAATATATGTCAAGATGCAAGACTTACTCATTTATACTATCTTTCCAATGAGATTTATTTATTTTTATGTGTTTATAAAAACAGCACAAAATTTATATTTCATAATCCAGGTGCTAGGTATGTTCCTAATAATGAAAGAATATCTTAACTGACCTCTAGCCTCTAAACAACATGAAATCAGCTGTAAGCTATGCCAACTTCGACTACGGTTTCTGTGAAATGACCTTAACTCAGACAACTCAATTTGGGCTTCACAGATGTAAACTGTGATAGATCTTTCATTCTTGGTGAGTTAGGTGTCATTGTTATGTTTTCCATAAAAATAAAAAAAACCTAAAGCATACTTGGAAACCAACATGTATTTAGTCTGGAATGATAGTCCATTCCGGTTGTATAGGAGATGCTAAAAGTCTTTAATGTTCAAAGTCTTGTTTTGATAGTGTACAGTTGTCCCTTGGTATCCACAAGGAGTGGTTCCAGGACCCGTTGGACACTCAAATCTCTGAATGCTCAAATCTCTTCAATAAATTGGCATAGTATTTGCATGCAACCTGTACACATTTTCCTGGATTCTTGATTCTTTATACCATGTCTCAGTTACTTATAATACCTAATACAGTATAAATGCCACGCAAATAGTGTTTATGCTGATTTTTTAGGGAATAATGACAAGAAAAATTTTCTGTGCATATTCAGTACAGATCCAAATATGTTTGATCTCTGATTGATTGAATCTGTGGATGTTGAACCCATGGATAAGGAATGCTGACTATATTGCCTTTTTTTTTTTTTTTTAACACTGGTGGTTATGATTTAGTTCAGTTTTGATTTAGAGAGTGTTATGTGAAGTGTAGATAGAGCTGTGGTTTGCTTTTCTCTTCAATTAATGGAATTACACACTTGGAAATTCTTGATTTGTCACAGTTAAATATTTATTAAATATCTGTTAATGGTGCAAGTGCCAGTGATGTAATATCCCTCATAATCCACTGGATGCGAGTAGTAGCTACCTTCACCTGGAGAGAAATTTCAGAAGAAATAGTTAAGTTTGTGTTCTGTCAACCAAAGATCAGCAGAGGGTTTTGCCACTTTAAAGGAGTTTTGTCATAACTTTATTACTTCATCTCTTTAACATGAAGATCTATGTGTTCTTTTCGAAAACGCTAATTGTCTTAAAAATTGAAAGGAAAACATGGAAAACTCAAAATCTCCCTTGAAATAATTCTACAGAGCTTTAATATCTGGTATAGGTATCATTCTAGTTAGAGATTCAAATGTGAAAATATGTTAGAAGGATGGAGGGGTCTCAAACCATTTGGCACACATGTGTTTCAGAAACTGGAGCTATGGAGCTACGTGATCACCTGTCATTGTGCTTGGGCAATTGGCAGAAGCTGTGTAGTCAGTCACTCATCTATGCCTACTGTTTCAGTAATGAGGCCCAAAAGGGAAATTTTAAGAAAGTGCCTGATGAAAGACCGGTGTAATAACATTAACCTAGGAGCCCAAGGGAATTATTAAATGATGTTAATGAGGGGAGAGGTTAATGTTCATTTTGAAAATTTCACTCTGACCTTGGTATGGAGAATAAATTAGGGAAAAGGCAAGAATGAAGGCAGAAACTACTGTGAATGGAGTTGTATTAACAGGAAAAAGGGAATGAAAACTCAGATTTAGATGAAAGGATGGACGAGAAGTCTTTGATCTGTGGAAAGAACAGGCGTCTAGAAATACTATGGTGTTTGGTGGTTTTGTTTGCTTTTATTGGGAAAGATTTAATTAAAAAGCATGCTATATAGATTGACAGAAGAGATTGGAAGAGCCTAGTCTTTCTCTGTCTTCAGAGAATTGACTTAGAAGATGTCTAGGGAAATCATTTTAATCCTTTTAAACCATAACTTGGTTCTGAGATGGACAGGGAAATGACATTTTTATAGAGGGATTTAACATTAACAAATACAGGATGTGTTCAAGTATTAAAGTGTTTTGTTTTTAAGATTTGGTAAACTTGATAGCATTTTATAAATCATGAAATACTAGACTTCACATTGCTCAGGGATACCGAGAAACGTGGATATGCTAAAATTGCAGCAGACTCACACTTTAGTATATTTTTAAATTAGTAGCTTTGTTGACTTTGTTCACTAGTTTCCTTATCAAATGCCCAAAACAATCAAGGCTTGGCCAGTCAGATACCAGCATCTCAGAACTCAATATAGGCCTCCTACATACATATCAGAAGTGCAGAAATCCTTGAGCCATCACCTGCTTGCCCCCCAGGGTGTGTATTATTAGCAGGAAGCTGGAAACTGAAATGGAGCTGAAACTTGAATGCAGGCACTTTGATAAGAGATGCAGGAGCCCCAAGAAGTCTCTTAAGCACTGTGCCAAATGCCCACCCCCAAATTTTTCATGAACTGAGTTGATTACTCTTTCGCTCTTGTTTTGCTTCCTTTTTTTCTTTTGATCTAAAGTCAGTGACATACCCCATGTCCTTAAAGACATGTTTTCATGTTTAAAGTTTAAATCTCATAATAAACTAGCTTTCTATGTAGTAATTCCTTGATTTAAAATAGAAAAACATTTCCTTACATCTTAAGTACTGCCCAGTCTGCTGCCTCTGCCCCCATTTTGCATTTAACATTCAGTACTGTTCCGTGTTCTGCCTTTGTTGTTTTCACTAACTCTCTTCTCTGCTTTTAGTTAACAGCCAGGTCCTTGCCTGCTGTGCAGTCTGACGAGAGACTTCAGCCTTTGCTCAACCACCTCAGGTAATATGAAGGCACAGCCCTGTTAAGCTTTAAATATAAGTGCAGTAAAATGGGTAAAACCCCTTACATTTTCTTTCTTGCTTCAATTCAGAATTACTTGATAAGCTTAAGTTAAAATGACTACAGATGACTAGCATTCCCAAAGATCTCAAATGAATTGTTATTTACTTAAATACAAGGTTAAGGCATACTTCTTTTTGGGATGGATGAGAGGAGGAGCGTTTGTTTTCCAAACAATGTAGCCTCATCATGTAAAAAATAAACTTAGAATATTCAGGAAAAGAAAAGGAAAAACATACCATTACTACTGAGGGTTAATATTTTATCCCATTGTGATGTTTTAGAACCCAGTGTTTAAATTATATTTTTATATAATTTAATGTTTTTTCCATTTTTTATAAATATTGTAAGATTTTTGTCCTATTATTAAAATCTTTGTAAAACCATTGTATTCAGTGACTACATGCCATTCTAGTCTGATTGTACCAGAGTATATTTATCTCTCTTGGGAGGCATTTAGATCATTTCCAATTCTTTTCCTTGCCATAAATCATGCTGCATGTAAACTTTTATCTGCATTTTAGATCATTTCCTCAGGATAGGTTTTCAGAAGTGGAATTACTTTGTCAAAGTATATGGACCACTTAAAGATTTAAACATTTATTTTTCACAACTGTATCCTACTTAACTCTCATATTGTACAAGATCCCTTGTTACCATACTATGAACAAGGTGGAGCAACCAAAGACAGTTGCTAATTAAATAGATTACTCATACAGATATTGTATGAGTAATTGTGCTCATACACATTTCATTTATTATTAGGAATGATTCTAATGGGATTATTAGGACCCATTCTAATGGGATTGACTTCTCTGTATCCTTTGGTCATCTATTGATAGCATCTCCCAATTTCATTTAATCTTTAGATATAAAGCAGAGAAACACTTTTTTTGTATTTGTAACAAACTTCTGTTTCTAAAAATATTGTATTATTCCGCATACCTACATTTTCATGTTTTATGTAGTCAGGCACCAAGAGTGTTTCCCTCAATGGATTCTTTTTACTCTTTTTAATCTTAAGATTGTTACTTTTCAATGAGAAATTCAGATTTTACTTTGTGGTAGCTCCATTTTTATTTCCCAGACTGATAATTTTTATTCTAAAAATTGTTTTATTTCTTACATGTTTTATTTAGTTAGTTGAAAGGTAGAGAGAAAAAGAGGGATAGGGAGAGTGATAATCAGTCTTTCATCTACTGATTAATACCTCACATGCCAACAACAGCTGGGGTTGGGCCAGGCTGCATCAGGCTCCAGGAATTACATCCAGATCTCCTATGTAGGTGACAGGAAATTGAGTACTTGGTTTGAGTCCAGCTATTCTGCTTCTGATCCAGCTTCCTAGTAATGCACACCCTGGAAGACAGCTAGTGATGGCTCACATACTTGGGTCTCTGTCACTCACGTGGGAGAATTGGATTTTTCTGGCTGCTAGCTTCGGCCTGGTCCAGCCCTTGCTGTTGCAAGCATTTGGGGAAATGAAGCAGTGGGTCTCTCTCACTGTCTCTCTGCCTTTCAAATAAATTGAAAATAGATACATGAAAATTTAAAAAGAATGCAAATTGTATCCGTGACATTTTGTTGTTTTTTCTGCATAAAGTTTTTGTGAATAATTTTGTTAAAGGTTTTTTTTTTCTCCCATTACTGTAAAACCACTGGTTCAAAAGATAGCACTCTAAAGGGCTAAATCTCACCTCTAGTTAATGCTTGGTTTTGTGAGATAATGATGGATTCTCCTTCTTCCATCTCAGTATGGTAATTGTCAACCAGAATTTAGATTAACTACTGACATATCTCTTTGAGCCCTTGAAACTTGCACAAACCGTACATTCGTTTAGGGCTTTTATTCTCTGGAGTTCACTCAAGAGTGGTTGCTAGGCAACCAGGGCTGGATGCTACAAGTAATATGCACCAACTGATGTTGCTTTTTTATTATTATTAAGCCAAACAGTTTTTCATTTTATTACCATGTCTGGGACATCTGTATATAAGTTGGCAGCTGATGTGCATAGTTTGACACTTCCTGTTCTGCAAAGTAGCCTTGTGATAAGCCCTCGGAGCACACTGCAATGTCTCTTGGCTATCCAAATGTAGTGTTTGTTTTTTGTTGTTGTTGTTTTTTTTTTTTAATCTTCCTTTTGTTTAGTCAAAATCAGAAAGAATAGTATTTGGTTTGAGAGATTCCAACAACAACCTTGTTAGGAAAAAATAGTTACCATTGAGTTGCATGAACTGTGTAAATTAAATGGTACCTAGAAGGGATGAACATCAGGAGGTTTGAACCTGAGATGAATATTAGGTCTAATTTCATTTTGTGCCTCTAATGATCAGAGAAGCATGATGAATAGTACTTTTAAATTAAATTTGTCAATAAAAATAGTTTAGCAGATGATATAAAGACTTATAAAAACTAAAATGACAATATAGAAAAATTCCCAAATCATTTTACAGGAGTTAAATATTCAAAGAGAATTTAGGTAGCACTTTGTCATTCTGATAATCTAGGACATTGCTTAACGATGTATGTTATTTTGAAACTGCAGAAATGATGTGTCCAGATTTTCTTTCTTGAACTCAGTTCTTAAAGTTAAGCCCAGAACCACATTACGCTTCAGTATCTTAGGGAAATACAACGTTTTTAAATTCATTAGTAGTACCCATCCATCTATTCATTAGTTACTGAGTACCCATTATGTGCTTGGAATAAAAGAAAAGACAGTCTCAGTTCTCAAGGAATTCATATGTTTGGTCTTATTTGAGGGAAAGGGACATACACAAGTTGGAAAATCTGTTAACTTTTTGATCAGAGCTAAGCACCACGTCCATACTTTTGTTAATCGAGCTGTTTCCCTCATGGTAATACTTCTTTGAATAATGAGGCAATGCCTTACTTGTTTTGGTTTCTGTTCTTTCTAGCACAGCAGTGGCTCACAGTGGGTGCTGTGATTGGACTGAACTTATCTCACTTGGGGAATGATGTTGTCATTAACTAAGAAGGAGAATAAAGGAAGACAAGGGGATTGGGGAATGAGTCCGACTGCTAACTTCAGCAGTTTCAGACATTTTAAGCTTGAAATACTTGTGAGAAATTAGTACTTAGCTGAATCCAGACCCACTGTTGAAGAGTGAGATTTGTACCCCAGGGACATTGCCTAATCATCACAGTACGTAAGTAGTGTATATGTAGTATACATATATACTGTATATGTGGTGGATAAAATCTGGAATGGTTAAGGTCATTCAGGGAGAGAGTGTATAGAGGGACAGAAATAAAAAGGAAAATGGTTCTGAGTAGAACCTGCAGAGTACCAGTATTTAAGTAACCTGTGATGGGCATACTAAGTGGCTGATGAGTTGAAAGAGAAACCAGTGTAAAAAAAAAAAAAATACCAGGGAAGAATCTTGAATGAAGAAGAAATATGACAAAAGGATAGTGGTTTCAAGGATGCTAAGGGAAAATTTTCAAAAATGGACTATGAGTACTGTCAAGTGCCATAGGGAACCCGGCACAGAATTGTGCAATGCCAGTTGGATTATGCACCGTGGAGCCACTGGGGACTTAGCCATAACATTGTGATGGTACGGGTGCAAGCATGAGTCCTGTGAGAAGTCAAGGAGTAAATGAGAACTGAGGCTGTGGAGATAGGGGGAGTGCAGGCTGCTCTTGTTAGGGCTTACTTCTGGAGGTAGGGAAGGAGCATGGACTGTATCCATGAGCTTCATGGTTGAAAAAATGTTTTTATTTTTCCATAAGCTTGTAAAGATGAGCATACTTACAGGTCAAGAAAGAAATGAGGACTCTGGGAACAAGAGAGAATAGCTGAAGTGTCGAGGTTTTAAGAGATGTAGAAAAGGATGGGATGAAGAAGTCAAACTTTTGATTGGAGTACACAAAGTACTTTTCAGACTAGCTTTTTATTTTTTGTAAATGTTAATTTTATTTGTAAGGTGGGAGAAACAAAGACCTCTCATTTACTGGTTCACTGCACAAATGCCTGCACCAGCTTTGGCTGTAACGGGCTAAAGCCAGGAACCTGGAACTCTGTCCAGCTCTCCTACATGAATAGCAGGGACCCAACCATTTGAGCCATCATCTGTTGCCTCCCAGCGTGCATGCAAGTAGGAAGGTAGATTCTGAAGTGGAGTTGGGACTTAACCTCAGGCACTCCAGTGTGGGATGCAGGCATCTCAAGCAGCAACTTACCCACCAGGAAAAATACCCACCCCAAACTAGCTCAGAACAATTCAGTTGAGAATGATAGATGACCAGTTATCATAATCCCTATTTTTAAAGTTGGCTGTGGAGCCTCAGGAAGTTCTTATTAAGAAAACCTACCACCTTTCTCTTCGTTCAAAAGAGATAAATGAATTATTTCGTAAGACTTTACTCTTCAAAATTAATACTGGGAACTTTTCAGTTGGAAGAAATAAGCTTACTTAGATTTGTAAAGTTTTGTAAAATTCCAGAATGCTAGATAGAATTTGTACAAATCATCATTTTGCTTTCCCCAAATTGCGTATTATTAAATATGTCATCAGATGAGCCTGCATCTCATTGTGACTTTTTTGTCACCCCGTTGGTTACATATCACTGTTTTCCAAGATGAAATGTGTAGTGCGCTGCTGTTTTAGTTTAGGGATATATAAAGGTCTTGAACAATGTTCCCCTGAATATACCTCTGGAAGTTTATTTTAAATAAGTATCTCTAATACCCTAATGATATCCATAGCATAATATTTACAAAAGGGTATTAGGCCAGTAAAAATGTATGTTTAAAGAACATTATTTTCATTTATCATCTCACTTACTGAAGTGTAGACAGGTGATACTAGGAAGGAAGACTAGCAGCCAGTATTCACATGCAATAACTACAGTTGTGTGATTTTAGATTTTTTTTCTTTAAAAATAATGCCTCCCCACAGTTGTATGTATCTTC